AAAAAAAAAAAAAAAAAAAAAAAAAAAAGAAGAAGAAGAAGCAAGCAAGAAAGAAAGATCTAATTCTCAAGCTGCTAAAATAACACATTGACATTATGTGGCATTCTTAGAGGTAAAAGGCACAAAACCTTTACCTGAAGGGAAGATATTTTAATAATAATACAAATAAACACCTAAGTGTGAGGTTAGAGGGGAGAAGTACTAGAAGCTTCTTGGCAGAAATAGATTCAGTTTACCCAGTTTACTGCAAAGGCTGGAAGAAGGGAGAGATTTAATGATGAGAACAAGAAGTATCAATTTGTAGTTCATGAGATGTAAATTCCTAAGGCACAAGGGAAACTTTGAACTAGAACTTGGAGTTATGGCTTAGATCTAAAAGTGTCCCCCCCAAAACCTCATGCTCAAAGGCGGGGTCTCGTCAGAGGGGCCCACCTCAGAGGGGGTGGGTCGCTGGTGATGTGGAAGGCTGTGCTCTCGGCCTGGCTCCTCCCTTCTCTTCCTGGTTCTGGCTACCATGGCATGAGCAGTTTTTCTCCATCAGGCCTTTCATCGTGCTGTTCTGCCAAACATGGACTGAACCCAGGGAAACCGTGAGCTAAAGTGAATCTCTCCTTTAAATTGTGGGTGCCAGGTATTTTGTTCCAGCAATGGGAAAGTAGCTGATACAGATTTCGGTACTGAGAGTGGGGTCGTTGCCATGACTATTCTAATCATGTGGTTCAGTAACCTTGGAACTTGTTTGCCAATTTGGAAGTCTGGGAAGCAGGCTACAGAATCCCTACATTGCTGTAACCGGAGCGTAATGGATGATTCCAGCTGGCGCTCAGAAGAGAAGAATGCAACAGGAACGTAGACAATGAAGTACAGGCTCAAAAGGTTTCAGTTTGGAATTGAATTAGAGGCTGTTTCCTTTTGCCAAATTGTCTATGTTCTACCCACCTCCTAAGACTTAGTGTTTGGCTGAACTTAAAGGTGGTGAGCTAATTAATCTGGTGGAGGAAATTTTGGCCATTCATTGTTCAGGTTGTAGCATGGGTACTGCTGAGTTTCAGCCAGATTTATAATGACAGTCAGGAGCAAAAAACAGAACTGAAAGATGTGGAAAATCCTGCTGGTGCCAGAAAGGAAGCACCTGTAATGTTGGGACCCAGAAGAGTGTCACTCCTGAAAAGATTAGCATTAAAAAGACCCCAAATATTTCACATCAGAGCAATGGGAAAGATGGCTTGAAAGCATCTCTGGAATCAGAAATACATCATCTATTATAGGCTCAAAGATGCAAAAAAAAAAAAAAAAAATGTATACCTTACATTAGAGAAGCAAGTCCCAGGGCACCCTGCTCGAGAAGGGTTCTCAAATCCCTATGGAATTGGTTTCCCCAGGTTCATTTCACCATGATCAGCTATCCGGCATTCAGAGGCTACTGTAGCCATGGTCCAAGGAGACCTGGCTACCACTCAAGTTGGCATCAGACCTTGGTGTCACTCACATGGTACTAGTTATTCAGGAATGCAGAATGTAAGTGTTGGGGGTTTGTGCAGGCTTCCACCTAGATTTCAAAGGAAGGCCTGAAAGCCAGGCAATGTGCTCCTGACACAGTAGTGCGTTAAGCTGTGAAAGCGAAGCCAAAGGTGCAGTGAAGACCCCAGGAAGATGCCAGAAAACATGAATCATCTGCTGAGGAAAGTCACAGGTAGTGAGCACAGTCAGTCCTAGAGAGAGGCTATGTGGCCTGCAACCAGCAAGGCCATATGGCAGGGCTGTGCAGGCCCTTTGGAGTTCACATTCTGTCACAATTAGACCCAGGTGCTAGACATGGAACTATAGGATTTAATGTTGCCCTGCTGGCTTTGAGTCTTGTTTTGGTCCCATTGTTTGCTATCTCATTTCTTTGTTTTGGAATGAGAATGCTTATCCTATGCCATGATATGAAATATTTAACTTTCTTTTTGATTTCTGCAAACTCACAGCTGAGTTTGCCTTCGATCTCTGAGAAGACTTTGGATTTTGACTTTTCATTAATGGTGAAACTATTAACTTTGGTGACTCTTAGAGATGAACTAAATGCATTTTACATACTGACATAGTCATGAACCTCTTGAGGGCCAGAGGTAGAATGGTATGGGTTAGAGTCCCCCAGAAGTCTCATGTTCAGAGGTAGGGCCTGGTTGGAGGCAGTGCATTACTGGCACCGTGATGTGGAAGGGTGCATTCCTGACTCCTTTCTCTCTCTGTTTTCCGGCCATCCTGGTGTGAACAGCTTTCCCTAACCATATCTTTACCATGTATTGCTGCCCTGGAACATGTCAACAACATACCGAACATACTAAAACCGAGCCAACATAAATCTTTTCTCCTTTAAATTGCAGGTGCCAGGTATTTTGTCCCAGCAACAGGAAAGTAGCTAATACACGTGGTTGGTATCAATCACAGAGTAACGTAAAGGGAAGAAGATATGGGAGAAGCACATGTGAGGTGAGGCACACCCCACATCACACAGATGAAATTCCACAGTAGAAAAATGAAATGTTTGCCTTCTTCCAAGGTCCTATCTGCCTGGTAAGGGCCTGACCTGTTCTTTCACCGGCAACACATAAAGATCATTCAGACACCGACTTTCAGAGTCAGGCTCTTTTTTGAAAGAGGGTTTGCAGGAAACAAGTGCATGTATTTATAGAGCCATCACTGTACCTTATCTCCTTGTTCACGGGGGGCACTGAGAAAGCCATTCAGTTTGGATGGGCAGCCCGCATTTCAAGTCGATGGGAGCTCAGAGACCAGAATGAGGCCTGCTCACTGGTTCTCAGCCCTGGCTGCACATGAGAATGACCTGGGCTGCTCTCAAAAGCACGGGTGCAGAGTCTCAGTTCAAACTACTCACAGCAGAATTGCTAAGGGTGAGGTCTGTGTATTTCTCTTTAAAGCTTCACAAAGAATTATCATTAATTGTTTTTCAGAATAGTAAAAGCAAGTTTTGTATTTTTGTAAAAGTCTTTGCTAAAGAGACAGAAAATCTGCTTTAAAATATTCCATGGAGAGGGGGTAGCCTTGATTACAGAAGAGTGGCAAAAATATTGGTAATTATTAATGGTGGGTAATGCACATAGTACTTTTGTATGTTTGGAATTTTCCATAATAAATTATCTTATGGAAGCAGCAGAAATATACATCTGTTCTCACATCTCCAAAATATATACATATGTGTGTATAATGTATTTAACATAAAATATTTTTAAAAAATATACTGAAATAAAAATTTTGCAAGCAATTCTAATGTACACAGTTCCACTAGAAACCTACATCACTGAAAGAGGGGCAACTTGATTTGGAAAATAAAGATTTAAATAAGCAGCAGGAGGAAAACAGGTAAAAGCGATTCAACTCAGTCTCGTGGCAAGAGGGCAGCAGGCCTCCTCCAATGGGCCACCATCTCGTTTCTGCCATGCACACAGTTGCCTGAATTTTTTAAAATTTTTTTTGTCTTTTTGACACAGGGTCTCGCTCTGCAGTTCAGGCTGGCCTTGAGCTCATTTTGTAGCCCACGCTGGCCTCAAACTTGCAACAATTCTCCTGCCTCAGCCTCTGGAGTGCTGGGATTACAGGCATGTACCACCACGCCCAGCTTTGCCTGAATTTTGAGAGTCCTCATTCACAAGTAAATTGTAAGCAGGTATGTGAATGTGCACACACTCATGTGTATATATGATTTAAGACACCACTGCATGCAATCAGTAGCATGTAATTCTTTAAAAATACTATTTGTGGCCAAGCGTGGTGCACACCTGTAATCCCAGCACTTGGGAGGCTGAGGAAAAAGGATCTTTGCGAGTTCGAAACCAGCCTCAGCTACAAAGTGAGCTCAAGGACAGCTTGAACTGCATAGCGAGACCCTGTCTCAAAAAGACACACACACACACACACAAAAAAAAAACCCCACCATTTGTGGTGACATTTCCTACCATCTAACATGCTTTAGGCTGTGGAACAGTCACACAAAAGCATTCTTCATGAGTGGGCTGGGGGTGAGGGGTGGGGGTCTGGTTTTCAGGACTGGTAAATTCCTCATCCACATAAGTATAATAAATATTACGGGGGCTGGGGATATAGCTCAGTGGCACAAGTGTCTCTCTGGCAAGTGCAAGATCCTGAGTTTAATTCCTGGTACCAAAAAAAAGGATAAAAATATTATGGGCAATGCTGCCTAAGAAGACATTGAGTAATTTTTTTTTTCAATACTGGGGGCTGAACCCAGGACCTTACAGAAGCTAGGCAAGAGCTCTAGCCCTGAGCTCTATCACCAGTCCTTTTTAAAAATTTTATTTTGAGACTGGGTCTCACTAAGTTGCCCGCGCTGGCCTTGAACATCCTGCTTCAGCCTCCCAAGTAGCCATGATTTCAGGTATGTGCCCCCATGCCAGCCTGAGTAATTCTTAAATCAGGTGCTACCAGTGGGAAGAATGAATAAAGCAACCAAAAGCTAAATGAATTGAAAATTCACCAAAACACCCCATATTTAACATCCAGAACTCCCAACTCACCTATTCTTCTCCATTTCATTGTGAGTTGATCTGAAAGAAAGAACAGTAAGAAAATAAGATTATTCTAGTGTTAGAGGACTATTTCAACACCAATACGACTTTTTTAACTTCTTTCTCTCCAAAGTTGATAGGACAGAAGGCAGAGAAAGGGGAGAAAATTCACTGGGCTCTACTAAAGAAATTTGGAAAATTCTATTTGGAAAATTAGATAAATGTAAATATCTAAAATAAAGTTAAAGGCCGGGGATATAGGTCAGCGGAACAAGTGCCTGCCTGGCAAGTACGAGGTCCTGAGTTCGATTCCTGGTACCAAAAAAAATAGAGTTCAAGGAGCAGTGACATACTAAAAGGCATGCCTCTCCTAGTGGAAAAGTAATTTTGTTTTTAAAAGGGAAATAAAAGAGTCTGTTAATACAAATTAAAGGGCCAGGAACACAGCTTATCGAAATTGCGCCTATCTGGCAAGCACGAGGTCCCGAGTTTGATTCCCAGTACACAAAAAAAGATGTATACAAAAAACAGGTGCACAACGCAATGAGAATTTGGGTTATGTTATCTACCCTTCTTTACACTAAGGGTAGATCAGTGAAGGTGGTACCCCCAACCCCACCCCCTGCAATTTTTTTCTAGGGGTAACATACACCAAAATTTTATGTTAAGTTGTTTGACTATAGGATACTAACTTACTAGTTTGTTTTTTGTTTGTTTGTTTGTTTTTAACTTACTAGGGTTTTTTTTTGCTGGTTTTTTGGCTTTTTTTTTTTTCTGGTTTTTTTAAAGATAGGATTTTGCTGTATAGCTCAGGATGCCCCTTAAGTAACTATATCGCACAGGTTGGCCTTGAACTTGCGGTAATCCTCCTGCCTCAGCCTCCTGAGTGCTGGGATTATAGGCATGCACCACCACACCTGGATACGATACCAATTTAAATGGTAAAATAACTCTCTTTCTTGATCTTCCAGCTCCCTGAATTAATTATCCTATCACAACTCCTAAAAGACATTATTACTGAAAAGCCACCAAGTAATTTTAGGAAGGGTTTTTCAACATAAAAGGAGGCTGCCTAAAGCATGTACCGCAGATGAAATAATTTTTTTTACCATCCTCTCCTTGGTTGACCCTTCTATACAGTGGGAATCAACATGACTGCCAATCACCTACTGAACAAGTGTGGATCAGTGAGGCAGCAACTGTGGAAGAGATTAGAGAGCCTGGAAGAAGGGTGTGGCAGGTGAAATTATATTATTACCGTGTTTATAGCTGACCTTGAAAATAAGCTCTGGCCTAAGACTTTATAGACAGGTCTTCACAATGTCACAGTCCGTCAACGCACCCCCTTACTCACATACCTCTTCCCGAAGCAGTTACAGACGTGAGGGATCTTCCAGTCCTATAAAAGAGCTGGATCGTGACCTTGCATGTGGGAATTCTCTGTCATGTAATCAGCTAAGGAGTTTACTCCCTGGCTCAGGTCATGAATTCTGCGGGCACATGATCGGCAGAGACAAAGTCTCAGGGCAGACACGGAGGAATACTGCCTTGAGCACGCTCAGCCGCTGTTAGGGTACCGTCACCAAGTGCACTCTACCACAGATGGGCGGCGGTGGGAGTGTGTGGCTGTGTGTGGGTAGAAGCGTGTCTTAAAATGGGAAATTTCTATCCCAACACTAAAACTTCTACTAGGCCCCTGGAAGATCCATTTTTATTTATGAGGAAAAGCAAATGAGAAAATAACGGCACTATTTTCACTTTTACAGTATTAGTTTTCTAGATAAATGATATGTGGGCCTCAAAAGCGGGTAATTTAAAAGTCTTCTACTGACTTACATGGTTATCCCTCATCCTTCTCAGTCACATGTTTCTCTATCAGTGGCCAGCAGGACACCATAGTTAACAGGAACCAGGCCTGTGCTGTACACCTTTGCCTTCAAATCTGTGGCATTTTACTTTTAATTGGCAATAGTAACTTCAAAGTCTGATGGCTACTTTGCCAATGTAACAAAACATTTTAAAATGGATGAAAATATACAATATCTGGTCAATATTTTCTTGTTTAACTGTAGACCAGGACCATTTCCAGTGGGTGGAGGAAAGGGAGGTGAATATACCAGCACACGGGGTACTCTCACCAAAAATTTCTAGATTCTTTGAAGAGATACCAATAGGCAGAGTGATAGATTTCTATAAAATTCTGAATTCCTTTTTTTTTTTTTTTTGTCTTTTTGAGGCAGGGTCTCGCTCTGCAGTTCAGGCTGGCCTTCAGCTTACTCTGTAGCCCAGGCTGGTCTCAAACTCGCAGTGATCCTCCTGCCTCAGTCTCCTGAGTGCTGGGATTACAGGTACGCGCCACCATGCCCGGCTGTTGGTATCTCTAAACAAAATGAGAAAAAAAAAAACAAAGAAAACCACTCCTTCTCTAAGGTCAGCTATATAGACGCAGTCTTGTAAAAGAACTTGGTGGCGAGTCCCGAACTTCCTCTTTCACATGAGCACCAAAGCCTACTTTTCTAAAGTAACAAAACTTTGGAGCGGGAGGTGATGGTGCCTGCCTAGAGTCCCAGCTACTTGGGAGGCTAAGGCTGGAAGAGCATGTAAGCCCAGGAGTTTGGGGCCATCCTGGGGCACACAGTAAGACCTCATCTCTTACAGAAACAAAAATAAAAAAACAAAGCTCTAGATTTCAGTTCTAAATAACTACTGATTGAAAAAATTAGTGAGAAAGAAAACAAGTTCCCAGTAGTTCTTTGGATGATTTCAAAACAATCAATATTCACAGTTTCATCTGTTCTTGTTGAGTTTTTTTTATAGCAGCTGTTAAACAAACTGCATTTAAGTTCCCAAGAGGTTTACTATAATAGCTAAATCTCTTTTTTTATCGTCCACAAAGAAGTACTCCCTCAGACTCTGAAAGAAAAGAGCACAGCATTTCAACCCACATGAACAGGAATAAACTGTTATCCAAGAGTTCTGTAAACCAGCAGCAATCTTTTTCCTACCCCTCGTTCAGTTTAAAATTCTGATCATGTGTGGCCTTAGATATAAGGCTGATTCAAGCCCAGTGGTCAAGCTGCTTTCTTGTCTGCTTACTCCTCAGGTAAGGTACATTCCAAACAGGGTCATGAAGGAAGTGATCACACTTAAAACTACCCAGTCTTTCTGTGTATGGTGGCCCATGCCTGTAGTCCCAGCACTCAAGAGGCTGAGACAGGAGGATTGCCGTGATTTCTAGGCCAGTCTGGGCTACATAGAGAGTTCAAGAGCAGCTTAAACTACATAGTGTTATCCTTCTCAAAACAACAACAAAAGCTCCAGAAACAAACAAACCAACAAAAAAACCTACCTGCTATTGCTTCAGGTGTGATTGATACCATCTCTAGATTTTAATCATGGCTTCCCTGAGATCCTTATACAACTGAATGAATTTCACTAATTCATTATTAGTATTTATTATTAGATTGCTTCTGTCTATAAACATGGAAGGCAAACCAAACCCACTGACTGAAGGCTAGAGCTTTTCTAAAAACCAGGAACTGTGGCAGCTTTTCAAGAGTAACACTGGTTATTAAAGAGAAGATAAAGAATTCATTTCTTGAAATTCTCAACTTCATCATTTTTTTTTTTTCATTTTTCTTTCCTAATCACCTTCCCTTCAGCATCTCCTTTTCCACCCCGTACTATTGGATATCCCTCCACAATCCTCTTGTGAATCTTAGGAAAAAATAAATTATTAAGGTATTTTAGCCTCAAGGTATCCGACAACTTCAAATCATGAGTGGCCAACATGTTTGTGGACTTATGTATTTCCAGAAAAATAAACTAAGAGGCCTCCAAATTCTTCCAAATTTTAAAAAATCAACACTGTAACAAAATGTACTACATAGTACTTTCTTGGGCTGCCTTTTCATAACACAAATTAACACAAACATCTTCCTTCAAAGGCCCAGCACCCATACACAGAACTTGGCTACTGCCTTCAGGTTATGCTGAGATGAGAGCACCAGGAAATCAACTAGGTAATTACCGGGTCCGCCCTCCGTGTGCCTTCTTAGTCAAGAGCGTGTCACAAGTGTGCTGCTCACATCCTGTGGTTCCACCAACACTAAGGTGCGCGAGGTGAACCAAGGACAGAAGACACAAGAACAAATGAGTTTTAGGGGTAAGTGGGAAGGGCTGTTGAGGGCTGTGTCCGAAGCCCCAGAGGCTATCCAGATAGTTACCCGGAGCAAGGAGAATTCTAAATCAGTGATAAAAATATCAATGATTTTGATTCACCGGCAGGAAAGGCACAACTGAGTGGACTTAATAAAACATATTTCCTACCTAATATCTTAAGGGCAAAAGGGGGCGGGGCGGGCGCAATAACACTGACAGAAATACTTATATGTACCAGGAAGTATGCTTAGGATTTCACTGACCACTAGCCAAATACTTTCCAGTAAGATTCATAGATTTTAAGAACTTAAGGCAATCTACGAGGCTAAGATGAAAACATCAAAACATACTAATATTTTCATACTCTATAATCCTCCATCACCAGACAGACAGGTCTTAACCTCATTCCTTGTTGCCTTTGTAAAGAGATGTGAAAAATTAGACAAACCACTGTATTTAATTTAAATATCAAATGTAAAATCCTACCACTTATGCCAAGTCAAAGACTTTAACATCTATAAAATTTTTACTATAAAAAATAAAGTGAACAATGTCCAGCATTTTGAACTGAAGAAGACTTGCCCTGAACCTGCAACTTTTGAAGGCAAAAAATTGTCACTGTTGTTAACGTCACTTGAAGCTTTCACTGATTTTCAATCACCAACGAAGAAATGCAAAATGAAATGTTTTAAAAAGTTCATAAAGAAATGTAAGACATTTCTGTTTTTTTTTTTTTTTTCCAGGTCCCCTCAACTTATACAAAAGGGCTGCTTCGGCCAGCGGCTTCAGACCCTGTGTGCATTACCCAATCGCGATCGCCGCTTCATGTATTTACAGGGTCGCGATCACAACAGGCAACTTCCACCCTGCCGTTTGTGTCACCTGCGGCAGAATCTGAACGGGAGAGAAATATTGACCAAATTACCTGCTGCTGCTGCTGCTCTTCTTGGATCTGCTCCTCCGTTTCAAGGCGTCCCGGTCCTTGTTCCCGTACGGTAACATGGAGGCGTAACCGTGCTCGGCTTCTGGAAGACCGGAGGGCCCGGTTAACGAGCGAGCGCAGAGCGTCGCGCACCCTCGCCCGTCTCGCAGCACAGCGCTTCCCTTCTCCCGCATCTACTTATTTATCTCTGAAAGAGCACCGCGGGAACAGCTAACAGCGCCGGGTGGAATTCTGAGAACAATATATATGTGTGTATATTTCCGACTGCGCGGGGACCCCCGCCCGGGCAGGCGGAGCCGCCCCGGCCGCTCATTGTCAGCCGCCGCCGCAAGTGGCCGAGCGCGGGTGCCGCC